CATTCTTTAAATCTTTATCAAAACCAGAGGCAGAGGAGAATAGTATGGCTACCTGAAGACATCACACAAGATTGATAAAAACAGCTTCACAGGCCAGACATTTCACGAGACAAAATTGTCTCGAGTACATTAGTTTTTTACATATCCGTAAAAAATGTAAAATCATGCCTCCCTACTCCAGTACTACAGAGACTATACCTTGTTTAATTTAAAAGCTGCAGTAATGACAGACATGATTTTTTTTTCAAGAAAAAGACTGTCTGACCTTTGCAAACATCATTGAGTCACAGATTGTAGAAGAGGTAGAGATGACTTCAGTCTTTCCAATAAAATACAGATGGCTCTCAAACCTTACCATGTCACTGTTCTCCAATGTTTTGAAGAAGGAACAACATATCCTTGAAGTTGCTTGAAAATTGTCCAAGGACTTAGTTCAAGACCCATTCTAAAGAAGGATCTTGGATCCATTATAACAGAGCGTGAGTTTTGCCAGAAGAGCAGAGGACTTTGGATTAGAAACAAATAAGTACTGTACCTCCACATGGCTAAGACCACAAATCTTTGTGGAATAACATCACAGCGCTGATGCACTACAGCACTACTCCTGAGCTCCAATGGCCCTGAGTCAACCACCGTGTCTGAGCAACCCGACTACAAGCAGCTCAAGCTACGATTACAAAACCAGGAAATACCAGCGGCCACATTAAATATGGACCTTTGACTCTGTAATCGTAAAAAATTACAAATGTCTCAAAACGTATTACCTGAATACAATTAAGAGTAAGGGTGGCATTGAGCGCCAGACACAATAAGGGCAATCCTGACAACCATTTTAAAGAAGCAAACTGTGTGTTTTTACATAAATGAAAACAATTTCTGTGCTGCAAAATCTGACATTTGAATGTCTCAGTGTGGACGACAAAAGTGTATGTTGTTAATTTGTTGTTCAGGTTGTGGAAGCAATTACAAGTTACATTAAAAATAAATTCAATAAGTTATTGTGTATCAAATTGAATTAATGTTAAGAAAGCCACTCATCTTTAGCAAAACATGTGATTTGTTTGTTTCCTGCTTCCCCAGCAGGGTTTTAGTTCTGAGCTGCAGAGAGAAAAGTGCATTAAGAACGGAAGTTAAATGTTAAGTGAGTATTTACTGCGAGAAAATGAGAAAAACAAAATTATCCACAAAGTAGGGCTGCTCACACAGTTAGAATCATAATAATCTTTAACCGGGTACATTTTAATATTAAGTGGATGATAAATGTCTGTGGTGGCTGTTGGCGTTGCCGTTGTGACAGCTTTTTACTGCTGCCTTGCGAGGTGAAAGAAAAATGTTCCTATGAAGAAAGGTGGCTAAGATGATTCCTTAGACTACCGACTAATGATGCAATTACCAACTGCTCGTAAAGAGACGTCTGAATTCAGCCCTGTTGGTGGTGACAGGTGGTGCAAGCCAACATTTGTGCAACTTGCCACGGCACATGCACGCTCTTCACGGTGCAGCTTGAGTTCCCACAGCAGCCCAGGGACAGCTCGCCACAGTATGTGTGTTCACCAAGGCGGTGCAAATGACACTTCTAAGCAATATGCCGACATTCCTTCCTCATACATTGCTAACATTCTAGCGGCACAGACATACACTTGTTGATTGGCATGAGACACATGGACAAAATCCACTTTGCCTGTAAGAAAATGTGGCTTTGTATATTTCAATGCTTTAGTTAATCGAAAGAGGAACATACTGTATATATACCGCTCTGTTAGGGAGCATGACGAGATCCAAGATGAGATACGTCGTTATTGCTTCAGCATGTTGTAAGTCCACTTAATGGTCTCTGCATACTTGAATGCCAACAGGATGCCTCAAGAGATGACACACAACTTTAACTGGAGGAAGGAACCTTAAGATGTCAAAGTTCTTCACACTGTGCGCACACCTTGCAATAATCATGGTCGTTGGTACCTAGATCTCCTTTCACTCTTAGAGGCCATCTTACTTTTACTTGTCAATAGGACCCAGAGATACGTGACCTCCTATGAACTAGACTGTGTACTGTTTTAATGCAGATTTCAATGGTCTCAGATACTGACTCAATCTATGAGTATTGCATGAACGTTTATTGAATACAAATCTGAGAGTGTGACATGTTATTCAACCCCCAGCATTAAGGCATTGGGGGGATAAATGATCTGCTATCATTTAAAGTTCTGCATTGCCCTAACTTAACATCTTTGGATAAAGTAGAGGTATGGCCACAGCAGACAACTTCTCATTATCTAATATGCTGGCATACAGAACAAAGCAATAGAAAGCAGTTGCAGGAACACGGAGTGAATGCACTAATAATGAATAGATTTCTTTTGGACAATAGGATTTAACCCTTTCTGCTCCTTCCTGCTTTATTATTTGTTTCTTTGTAAGCATTTTTTTGTAGAATACAATTTCCTTGAGCAGCAAGTGAAAAATAAGCACTGTCCCTGGCACACCATGACATCAACGCAGATTGGTTTGGGCCATAAATGAGGATGTCTCTCACCGTGCCCTTGATGTATTTTTCTCAGGGCTCTGTGGCACAGCGTCAAATCTGAGGTGTGAATTCCGCAGGACCCTAAAGGACAACGGTGTATAACTATGACATCAGCCAATAAACACTTGGGAGGCGAGCACACTGGCACTCACACACATAAACAGGCAAATATGTCCTGGTCTGCTAGGTTTATGAGCCAGTGTGTCTGTGCCGTTAAGGTTTATGTCCTCTGCAAAATAATGATGAGATATCGAAGGGGCATGGTCTCATGGAACAATAGAGCCACTGAAATGCAAATGGCCGTGTATGTGCCACTTATGTCTGCAATAAATGCTCTTATTCAATTATAGGTTGGAGAAACATTATCCAAGTTTTGTGCAATAGCAGTAAAAAGTGCATTTTGAGCTATGGCATGAATTCTGTGTCTGAGTGAAGGTTACCCACTGACCATCAACCATTTATTCTGCTTCGATCTCTTATTCCCACTTCATCTTACCAATAGATAGAGAACACTGCAAGGCCAATCTTAAACAAAACAAAAACGGTGTCTTTAAATCGCATTTATTTGGCTCGTGCTTTTTTCCAAGGCGATTCACAAAAGTTCACAAACAGGAACCTCAGCAAATTGTCACCAAAAACTGAGATAGAAAAAGAGAAAAACTATAAAAGTAAAAGACCTGAGTGAATAGTTACTGTTTCGTAACAAGGTCAAACCCAGGGGAGGCATATTCCGCAGGAGCATTAAGGCATTTGATCTGCAACACATTGGCAGCTGCGGCATCCAGGTGAAACGAGGAAAACACTCTTTGAAACTGTCATACTGAAGCAAACAAATATGAACCAAATACATTACCTCAATCTTTTTAGTTTAGTCAGTTAGTTTTAAATGCTTTTTAAATCTCAATCTTTAAGGTTGTTTTTTTCACTTTGCAATTTCCTGTGATTTCACCTCGTCAATGAAATAGTCTGCTTGTACAATGCAGTGTGAAAAGGTTAATCTGCTATACAAATGGTTTCTCACCTCTTTTGAAAAGTGCTTTTTTCCTTAGGTGCACCATTCACACAATATTCATGTTCTAGTCTACAGCTTCTATAACAAGCAAACTCATGTCCTTTACATTTATTATGCTTTTATTTCTAGTAGCCCAGCAGTAAGCACGTTCACAACACATCCCCAGATTGAAGGTAGAGCTGCAGACTTCATGGCTGGTGATTTCACAGTTCACTATCACATAAAATCCAACAACTGTTTTTAGTGAATCCTAATGGTAGGCTATATAACACAGCTCAAAATGATGGTTCTCAAATACCACCTCAACCATGGCATATGGTGAGGGCTTGATTACAGTTAGTCTTTGAATCTTCTCAACCAGCCTTTGGTCTTTAGTTTTAGAGGGAGATGTAAAACATTGCTGCGTGAGTTACATCAGGGCCAAGGTCAAAAGCAGCAATAACAGCGGGAGGTCGTGTGGGGGAGATGTAGGAATGGAGAAGGGGGGAAAGTGAGGAGCTGCGGAGGGATATCAACAACTGTGACAGCTGTGTGGATACGGCGAGCTGAGCCATAACACGGAGTTTCCAGGGCAGGAATGCAGAACAGATCAGCTAGACAGTGGTTTGTGCTCTGGTCCGCCCAGGCACCGCACACAACTGCAGCTGCCTAATCCCAAACTTCTGCCTTGATACCCCACTCCTTGTTGTAAAGCGCAACCCGGCTTCTGAGAGAAAGCCTCATTCTCTCTAGGTCTACAGATGCTTCTCCCTGTGTGTGTCCTGTCCCTTTGCTTGGACTACAAATGACAGCACACTTGTCAGCCTCAGGCACAGGTCGTATCATAGCATAACAAACTTGAACTGACTGACAATGGGATAAAGAGAGACACCCAAGCACAGTCAGAGAATTCCTGTCAGAATTCCTGTCAGAATAACAAATGTTGCTAGGCTACTAGAAGAATGTTTGCCTTAAATGTTTCATGTAATGCTAAATGAACGCAAGAGTCAATGAGGAAAGGTATACACACACATTCCTCTACCTCAGGGGTGTCAAGCTGAGTTTAGTCCACATACAGCCACATTTGATCTCGAGTGGGCTGGACCAGTTAAATCATAGCATAATAACCTATAAAAAACTCAAAATTGTTAAACTTTCTTAAATTTTTTACAAATGTATTTATTTTACATTCATTTACACATCTGTGTAGTTATCCTGACCACCTGAACTGTAACACACTAAAGCTGGAACTATAAAGGTAGAAGGTTAAGTTATACCCCTGCCTGGTAAATGTATATATACAAAATACATTAAAGTTGGGAAAACTGCAGTTAATGTCTTCTCTGTCATTTTTACACTTTGAAAAGTCATCACGCTGGCCGGATTTGACCCTCTGGCGGGCCTTCTGACACCCTGCTTTTCCGAATGTTTGACACCCCTAATCTACCTCTTAAAAAACAAAATCACAAAGGCTTTCAGTACCTGCAACAGAGTTGGGCCTCGGCATCATGAGGGAAGAAGTGGTCTGCGATGAGTATGGAAATGGTCCCTCAGGTGAGCGACTTGGAGGCTTCTGTGCCCCTGCGGCTGTGTTGGACTGCTTCTGGTCTGTCCTGGAGGGGGTGTCTGCGGGCGTGGATGTGGCGCTGTTGGAGTCTTCCTCGGCCACAGGAGAGCAGGTGTCACCCCGCACACTCTGGGCCAGGCCATGGCGCCCGCTGCCTCTCAGGCTGCCATCTTTACTCCACTCCAGGCTGGAGCCACTGCGGTCATCATTCTCAGAAGAACTGGTGATGGTGGCTGAGGGGAGATAAAACAGTGCAGGGAATTAGAGCGAGCGAGGGAGGTAAGATGCTCTTTGTAGGTTATGAACATTTATCTGCCTTCATCTCTAATCTCTGTAATGGAGCTTTTAACTTAGAATAACGCCCTGCTTTTTCTCATTGTCCTTCTTTAAATTCTTCACCACCTGACGTCATACTAATGGAGACAGTAATGAAAACTGGAAAGACTTTTAGAACAAATTTCCTGAGCCTAGAAACCTTGAATGTCCTTTGATTTTTTTCACCAATTATCTTTTGAAGGAACCACTGTAAGACTACCAAACTATAACACAAAATTCACACTAAAAAATATTGAAGAGTAGAGTGAAGAACTAGTGGTAGAATACTGCCTTCAGTATTTTTTTGTTCAAACAGATATTTGCTAACATGATAACAAATCCTTTAATCCTCCCTCAGGCCAACCTAACCATCAAATAACAATCCTAAAGGATGAGTGGAGGCCCACAGAGCTGCAGCTGGATGCAGAAACATCAGTGCGGTCAGAGGCCTGGATCTGATCGGCCAGCTGGCTGCGTTTGCATCACACACTCCTAATCTGGATTTCAGAATGCAGCATGTTGCATCATCACTCATTAATACAACACATCATGTTGTATCCTGTGCTGTTTACCTGGGCAAATACAAGTCATTCATGACAACAGTCACGTCCAGCCCTGCAGTGAGGATTGTATTAACAGTAGGGTTGCAAAATTCCGGGAATTTTCAAAGATGGAAACTTTCCATGGGAATTAAGGGGAATAAACAGGGCATTTTCTAAATTGAAGGTTGGCACTTCAAAGGGAACTCAAATATAGTTGGGTGTTACGGCTGCTGCCTTCCTGGTCCTCTTAACTGTGTTGATCTGTGTTATGTGCAAATGAGCTGTGCGGTTGCCCTGACGTCATTGGCTGCCATCTCCTGGTCCGCCCCCTGAAGATTGTGATTGGAGCACGCCGGGCCCGACGCACTCCAATCGCAGCGCACAGACGGCGCACACCTGCTGGAGATGACTGGGAACAATCATCACTCTGGAGGCTCTGTTGAGTGAACAGACACCTCTCGCTAGTTGCTCTACAAATCTGTTAACAGTGGTTAACTCGTGTGGTCTGTGTTTGTTAGTATTGTTGTGATTAGATGTCCTGAGATTAGTTTAGTATTATTTGCTGTGTTTTCTTACAGCCTCCCTTTGTTAGTCTGCACCACTTCAATAGTGAGGGTTGTTTTGTTGTTATTTAGTTGTTAGTACCTATTCTTTGTATGTAAGTAGACTCAGTTTTTAGAGTCCTCCTTTGTTTGGTTAGTTATCAACCTGTGCCCTTTTTGTTGTT